AATACAAATAAAAAATTCAGTTGCAAAAAATAAATCTTCCTTTTATAATTGTACGGCATTCTCACGATTCTACCGATCGCGCAATTGTTTTCACAAGTGAGTTCTCGCACTTTTTAGTAGCGCTACTGTAGACTCCTATTCAGACATTTCAGTGCCTATCAGATAAATATGAATTACAGAATTCATAGGTTAGCGTGATTGACCGGTGTGAGTTTTCGAAAAAAGGACATAACGTTTCATACAAATGATATTATTTAATTGCAATTTTTTAATTTTATAATTTATCTAAACTCGAAAACTGTGAACAATGGCTTCGTCCACCGATGTTGCTACAGTACGTATTATTGATTGATACATTGCAAAAAAACAAATATCAAACAGTACCTAACAATGTAGAGTATGTAAACGCGGAGTAAAGTGGAGTAACAAGATTTAAATACGAATGTTATCGTCATCGAACGTAATCTTAAGCGTGTATTGATTAACAAACAAGTACTTACAATAACTATTATATGTTTGTTAAATTATTATATGTTTGTTAAAAATTGACAAAAATTTGAAAATTACATTTTTTTATAATGAAAAAAATATAATGGATTATATTTTTACATTTTTATTATAGTTATAACATATATTAATATTTTAACATATATTTTATACTTTTGGTTAAATTTTTATTGCGTTATGTCCATTAATTTTTAGATCAGAGCTCAGAGATATTTAAATGAACCCTTGGTTGAAAGATGCAGAGATTTATCTATTTTGATAGATGAGTCAAGCACTACTGAATTGCAGTTAGTTTTTCCTTTGCTGATAGACTCTTTATTTGGAATAGTAGACAATATTGGATGGGGTTTACACAATATTACCCTTAAGAAAAATCCACATGAATATTCGGCACTGTGTCACTTTCTTAGTCCACAAGGATCAATGTTTTCTTTGTGTTATAAACTGCTTCCAGACTGTTATCTTAAGTATAATTTTCCAGTGTCATATCTTCCGGTATGTTTAAAAATTAAATTTATAGTACATGTAAATATTTTTTTAGGACTATTATAATATATCGTAATGTTTCTCATTCTAGTCGAAAATACGCTCCATGTTGGAGGAAGCCATAATATCACCATTTTATCTGGATAAAATTAGAGATGACCAAGCGACACGTGTTCCTTCAGCTTTATCTATGAGTATCCTTTATTAAATGTTATATTTTTATAAGTTAATATATGATTTTATAAGTTAAATGTTATATTTTATAAGTTAATATATATGATTATTGCATTATGATTTACAAACATGAATTTTTTCTTAACATAACTACATATCCCTTTGAGTACTATATCTTTCATTTTGCGTATCATTTGACCAATCCTTGGTTACAACTTCAACAGCAAGAAAATGTATGGATGAATTGGGAAACGGTTTATGTTCAATTAGCGCACTGTTATCTATACCATTTTCTTCCGAGAGATAATTCTCCGGTTCTACCGGTGATTGGGCCATATGTAAAGAAGACACCACCAAGAAAATTAACTCAGTCACCAGAATTCCGAAGGTGCGGAGACACTTTGTGCTTCTAGAGAGATAAGACGTACATATTCGAGTATAGCAAGTACGCTTTATTTATATGTTTTAAATTTCAATCAGAGATTGTCAAAAATTGCAAACTCTGAGACTTCTAAGAGCATCTATATTATCCTCGGGAACAACGAGTCCTGGAACAGGCATACCGCAACAACAGCAGTGCTTACCACAAGTCTGGAGAAGCGAGACTGTAGTACAAGTTTTTCTCGATTTTTGGTTAGAATATACGGAGGATACGCAATTGACCTCCCAATTGAGTACATCCTACTTGTCTTCGATTCCGCGACGAGTAAGTTTTTTGTGTAATAAATAAATGAATTATATATATGAAGCATTATATGAAGCATTATATGATATAATAAATGAAGCCTTATGTTACATGAAAAAATATGAATAATTTTGCGGAATAAAAATAACTTGCGTCTCTTCAAATGTATTTGATTGTAATTTCTAATTTCAGCATAGTATACATTCTGGAGAACACATACGTCTTGTAAGAGCGTTCATAAAAACATTGCATGAGTTTACGAATAGCACTACTGGCGACAAAAGCGCAATGGATGAATTGAAAAGGTAGTGAGATATATTTTACAAATTAATATAACACATTACAGTTACACTCAACATTTTTCTTTTGTTTTATTTATATTTGGCAGAATAATTCTTCCCTCGGTTCAAGGAAAAATATATACGTTTTTGAGGAAAGCAATATATCATTGGCCTCTAGACAGCTCGTTCAGGTTGATACTGGAGGCTTGGTTAAGTTTTATTCAACCATGGAGATATGTACCAGGAGTAACATATACCAAAGAAGGGTATACATAATATATTACTGATAATGCCAAAACCCTGTCATAGTTCTTGTTAATATTTTTTCTTTAATATTTTTAGTAAAGCAGAGGAAGAAGAAAGAGGCAAAATTCATGATCCTGGCAGATGGATCTCTTTCGTTGTTAATAATCTGTTAGCATATACGGTTGTGTTTCAGCAATTGCTTCCACGATTTATGAGAACTGACCTAGTAGCGCCTAAGAATGCATTAATGTTATTTAGAGTTACAAAAGTACGCGAATTTCATCAGCTAAATAAATATATTATCTTGTATTAAAAAATGTACTTCTTATCTATGTTTATGTAGGTATTTTCACAACCATACTTAGCAAAAATGATATGTGAAGTAGAGAATTGTGTGGATGACGCAGGCCTTAGCAAAGGTCGAATAACTACGAATCAATGGACATCGATTATTAGACAACAAATTCTTGAACTAGAAGGTCCAACGTATCAATATGTTCCCATGTTTTCGACAGCTATCAACCTGCAGGTATTTTTTACTTTCTGAAGATTTCTAAATGTATGTCAAACTAGTTTCATTAATAGGTGATTATATTCCGTTTTAGGTCGTATGGTTTTTGAGTAATATTAAACAAGCGCATTTAACATCGACCAGTTTGGTGGAAGCTCTGGAAGATAGAAGAAGAGGAAAGCGCTTTCTGCTTTCTCTGTGGGAATTCTTTAGTTGCGAGGAATACTCTTCGGACGACATCAGCATAGAAGAGCGACGACGCGTTCCTGTATTGTTGGCCACTGCTCAACAGCAACTAATAGATATATTTCAAGTAATTGAATTTCTTTTATATCGATAATTAATTGCGTTTTGTTATTTTGAATAGCATATACGATATGATTGTTGCAGATACAACTCGAAGACATTCCACAAGTTGCTATAGTAGCGGACCAAGAATATCACGACAGTATTCTGTCGACTTCTTTCTGTCATCAATCACAGGTATGGATTATTGAAATAAATTTCTATTAAAATTCTTCGATCGCTTAAAAGACGTGATTTTAGATGGAATCTAGCTTTGATTCAAGTAGACCGGGTACTTTCGTACCGTTGCAAGAGGGTAGACAGACATGTCGATATATCGAATATATGGGCGATCCAGAATTGCAACCGGTGCGAACGAACGAATGCGCTTTTCTCGTTAGAAACTTTTACAAGCTATGCTGTTACCTCAATCTCAAGGTATTATATGTAATCACATCGTTGTTTTTTAGTTTAATAACTTGCGATTCATTTGCAGTATCGATATGAGATAATCGCACTATACAACAGACGAAGCTTCCTTGGTAGTGTTTGTCGACAATTAATTGCCCCACCTACTACGATTGTAAAATTACCTAAACGAACATCAAACGGATTTAGCAGTGGCTCCGAGGAACGACTGCCACCTCGATTAAGTTTACGACCTTTAGCTAATTACAGCTTTCTCATAAGTATATCATTTGGTGTATTGATCGCATGGCTTATCAAGTACGTAGTTTCCGTAATTTCTAAGATCTGTCAAAAAATTATGTACAATAAGTCTCAAATTATACACAGAATATTTTTTCTTACAGTTATGGTCCTTTTATGTTCCTGGGATTTTTATTTTTAATGTGGATTATGTATGTAGTCATACGTGCAACGTTGCAACACTATTTTCCATCTATCACAAGTGTTTTCAAACAAAACACGATTGCACCTTCCATTAATCGATGATGTTTTCGAATTTTAAGATAATGGACTATATTACTGTTTGTAAGCGATTTTGAAACCTTTTTGAGAATAAAGAATAACAATTTTGGATACCTACGTATTTGTAAATATATTAAATACGATATAAAAAATATATTTAATAATATTACTGTTTGAAAACTATTATAATAAGTAATTACGCTAAGTGATCGCGTTAAATTTACATTATAATTATTTATAAACGAAGGCCTTTGCGTTTTAAAATGACTCTGCAAATTAATTTAATTGCTGAGTATTTTCTAAATTGTTTATTCATATTTTTTATAATTTTATATAAAAAAATTGCATATTAAATTTTGGTATATAAAATATCAAAATTATTTTTGAATGATTTTGGATTATTCTTATATAAGAAGTTATATATTTCTCATTAATTACTGTACTACAATTATATACAATTAAATATATTAAATTTAATATATACAGTTAAATTAATAAGATTTCTTTTTTGTGAAAATTTTTTTGTGAAATCTAATTATAATGTAGGTTAAGCTTAATTGTATCCATCGCGCAATTCGCAATGAACGGTACATGCTATATGATATTTGGTACGGTCTACGATTACTATAACATACAGTAACATTAATTATTGATTCATGATACATTCGTCTCGAATGTAATCGAGAATAGCAAAAGCGCAAGAATGATCAACGCCGCGATCCACTTCTCTTCTGACGTTAACGCGAAACTTAATCAACGTGATGCACACGGAAAAATGAGCTCGCGCATTCATTAGACAAATTGAATTCGGGCACTGATGCGAATCGATCAATGAAGCGCCCGCAAAAAGGATTAACCCTTATATCAGTATCCGTGGATACTTATTGGCCCTTTAAATAAAAAATTGTTTTAAAGCGAAAAAATTTAACTAAACGCTTTCAGATTTCTATTCTTTAAATAATTTTATGACATGAATTAAGGTATTTGGAGTAAATATTAATAATTCATTTTTTGTAAAATTTGTTTCCAATAATTTTAAATTAATATGTTTATTTCAGATAATCTAATTATAAGAAAAACGTATGTATAATTTATTTTTAAAATATTTTAATCATATAACTTTGTTTTAAGCAATAAATAAATAGTTGTTTTAGAAATTCTTCTAATGACTCGTTTGTTGTTAAACGTAATTAAAGTGAATAAAAAAAATCAAATAATTAAAAGAATTTATATGATTTTCATTTATATGATAAAAAAAGATAGAAGGCATTGCTATAAATTTTTTTAAACTTTTTATTTGACACTTTAACTAATATTTTAAGAGTTCTTACAAATACTTTACAATAAAATCCCACAAGAAAGTATAAGACATTTATATTTAAGACAAATTCTAATAATTCTTGATTTTTTAATTTACGAAATATAAATACAAATAATAAAAAACTTTTGCGTCTCGCCATCATAATCATAACAAAAAAGAAGAGCAAGCTTTGCATATTCCGTAATTTTTCACCACTATAATTATAATGTTATAGTGTCGTTTTGCGCATTTTTTTTTTTATAAAATCTGCGCAATGATCATTTTTATAAAACCTGCGCAATACATTGTGTATAACACTACATTACAGTCATTAAGAGTTACAGTCTTCTAATTTCCATATTTCCATATTAAATGAATATGTGTATATTCACCGATCCTGTTCTCTTAATTAGTTTTGCTCGCGTGTAACGATATGTCAAATGCGATCGTGATTATTGTCATTGTAAATATTTGTCTTCCGCACGGAGAAGCGTAATTATCTTTTATTTTAATGGGACGAGAGGAAGGCAGAGGTAGCGCGTGTGATGTATTAATTTGTAAAGTTTTACGCGTTTTACGTCATGTCCGCCGCTTTTAATAAAAAAATAAAATACTATCGGAGTTGTGAACGCACGGACATTGCGTGTACGTCGGTCGTGAACACGGGCGAGCTTTTAATTGGATCTCATTAAAAATCGCGCGTCCCTTTCCGCCTGTTTTCATGATTTCATCGCGACTTTTTCTCGTTGTTACCGAGATGAGGAAAAACGGCTGATCTTTATTATTTCTGCGATAAGTAAAGCTCGCATTACGCTCCTCATGTACTCCTTCCCCGCTTCGTTAAGCCTCAAGGCACATCTTTATTATATGAACCGCACATAAATTCGGCGCGCCCACAAATTCAGGATACGCTTACTTAGCGTGAATTGTTTGGAGTTCGTTTTTTTTTTCATCATCAATCTGTCCTTCATTCTAAATCGATGCGATATGACGAAGTGATATAATATCAGACGATATTTAAGTCAGTTGTTCGTGTTGGGATCGTTGGGGAATCATCGATCGTGCTTGTGCGCGTGTTTGGAGATAAGGATATTAAATAAAATGGTATATAATCATATAGAACCTCCGAAAATATATATATATTATTTTGAAGGTCAAGGTCAACATGTGACATCGTGACAAATAATAATCGGAATGTTCTCGAACGAGAAATAACATTTCGACCATTTTCTCTTTTTGACGACAGAGTTATTGGAACCATGTACAATTTTATTAAAATTAACGAGTAATAGGAAATTACTTTATTATATTAATTTACAAGGTAAATCTAAATATGCATTGCTTTTTACAAATGTTTAAATAAGAAAGATATAATTTATATCTTGATATTACATTATATAAATTTTATATTATACAGAATAGAATATATTTTTTAATCCTTTGGAACGAATGTCAAAATTTGTAACACAGTTATTGACGTTGGATCTATAAAATCCATTTAATCCTTCATTATTCATAGGTAGGATTATCAGTCGTAAAGTCTTTTAAGACATGTTTTTAAGACACACTCCTTTTGAGGTTGTAAAACTTCTGGTCATTAATTAAAATTGTATACTTATAAAATTCTATTAATAAAAATTAATTATGTTACTATAAGAAATTTTATTTTATTAAATATAATGCATAAAAAGGTTGTACCTCCTTCTTCTGCTTCTGGATCATTAATCTTTCTTTTTATAAACCTTCTTTTTAGAAATCGACCGAGTTAATGTAACAACATAATATAGTAGAGAGCGTCTATGGATCGGTCAAAGTTGGAAGTTACGAATATAATATTCTAAGTTCATGAATTTAATTAATCTCAAATGATTGTGCGCCGAAACGTTCGGACATTAATAACACAATCAATCTGAGACGCTAATAATCATCTTTCTTTTAAAATTGTATACATGTACTTTTTCTTTGTGTTTCAGATAACTATACTTGTGGTGAGTCCTTATAAATTCACTAAATATATGAATGTTATACATATACCTGTACACAATATATTCAGCGCAAACTCTTCCATAACTACAAAATTTTTTGCATTTATCTTTAAATCTAAAGGATTATAGAATTTTATTAAATTTAAATGTAAATCGTCAAAGAGAGGAATGAAAATTGAGATATAATGTTAGGGTGTCAGAACCACGGAATACTAATTATGTTAAAAAGACGCCGCGAGTAATATAGTGTTAATTTATGCTAATTAAAAAACACTAATTAATTTCAAGAGACCAACATAACTCATATAAAACATAATGAATATTAATTATGTTTTAATAAGAATAATCCAAATTTGCAAATGTAACATAAATAAAAAATTAAGTTTGACTTTTTTGACAAAAATATTTATAATTAAGTAGGTTCACCCCCCGTTCCGGAGGGTTATATTGATTACGGTGAATTGATTACGTAGCAAATATATTTCATAAACTGCTCTAATATATATTTAATCATTATTGAGAATATAGAATAATTTTTCTATTTTATTTATTGTTAATTTTATATTAGAGAAAACACATTAAAATGTCGCACAGAAACGTTTATTAAAAATTGAAAGGAAGATACGCCAACGAGCTTATTTTAACAAACAAAAAACTGTTATTATTACATTTTCTCACTGAATATAATTTTATATATATGTTCTTTCATCAGACTTTTCATGCATACACACATCGGCACTTGCTGATGGATCTGACGATCGGAGGCACGGCACTGAATTTAAGCTTACCTTCCGGCAATGCATTAGTCGTATTAAACCATTAGATACTCTGCGGTATGTTCCAGGGTGTGTTTACATGGTCGATGTAACACGAACACGACCCATTTTCGATTTAGATCGCGATCACTGGCGCGCTCATCGAGAGGCTGCTCGTCCGCGCGCGCCCGCACATGCGAGAAAGAAGTCATTTAGCTCCGCGGCGCAATTAGAGATCTTTTATGCAATGCCAAGCGCTCCGTTATGCGCCAGTTACGGACAATGAATACGTAGGAATTACCACAAATAGACTCGTTCACCGTTCGTTAAAGCCATCGGCGTGAAGTGCCTTAGAGTCGCAGTCCTATACGCTGCTTTCTCAGCTAGTGGCTGCATTACTTCCCTTTGTTGCGCTTCTTTTTCAAAAGATTAATTATCAATGATTTTTATTAATTTCTTCTTATTACTTTCGCGTGGACAGTTCGAAGAATGCAAAAGCAAAATGTTTTTCACTTTAAACGTTTCGTGATTTACGAGGTTATTAATGAGGTTGAAGAGTTGAAAATCCTTTTACTATAAATAATTATATTTTAAAGAACCTTTTTGTTAAAGATATAATATGATAAATATGTGAACAAGAAAATCAGAATTCTTTCTTTCTTTCTTTCATTCTTTATTTCTGAAATTTCACATTATGACATAAATTTAACTCCATTAGAATAAAATCCATTATTATATATATATATAATATTTTATTATAATACAAATATTATTGATGTAAACATTATTATTTTTATATTGTTATAATTTAAAAAATGAAATGAGAGAATATAAAGAAAATAGATTGCCGGAAAATTTCTTTATACGTAATTCAATGAAAAACTCATTGAAAAATGTGAAGAAAAATTGAAGAATAAGAAATTCAAATCGACATTCGCGATTATAAAGAACAACGTTCTTTGCAACTACGACAGAGATATTATGTTTCAAATATATTATAACTAGAGATGCACGTGTCCGCACATATGTACTGGCTAACCCAGCATCCGTGAAAGAGAGGAAGAAATATTGTGGGTGAAAATGTGCAAATATATGTACGGTTTAACCTAGACAGTAATTCTATTTCCATGTCATCTTATCCACATCCAATTATATTATATATCAGATAACAAATATCTGAATTGTGATCATCTGACCATTGGAAAACAAATGCAGAACAAATAAGGTCCATTACGTTGTTCGTTACGACACATATCTACGACTATATCTACCAATTATATGGTCATTTATTGTATTATCCACAACTTTAATTTTGATATAGGAATAGCCTTAATTCGATCTAATATAAATCCTATTTGACTGTCGGCAATTGTCTTTGTGGTAATAATAACGATTCAGTTATGATGTCCCTTTTTCGTTAAAGCCATCGTCGATTACCCAAGAACAGCATGATAAAAATTAATATGATTGTATATTATTTTTGACAATAAAAAATACAGCTATTATTTTTTTATAATTGTTATTTTCTTAATAATATGTGTATATCGAAGAATATCATGCAGTATTAAATAAAGAATATTTTAAAAATTTCAAGGCAAATGAGAGTAAGGCGCAGTAATTGGTGCGCAGATTCAATTATAAAACAAAAATTATAACAAATTCTTACATAAATATATTTAAAAAAAATTAGACACAAAAATATATATTCAAATTGTGTTAAAATTCGAACCAAACATTTGAGGCCATCCTCAAAGAAATACCAAAAATTAAACATAAATATTTCCTACACTACCACAAAACAAATTTTTTTATTTTTTTTTAATTTGAGAGTTATTATTAAACTTCCTATTTTTAAATTAAGAATGCCATCTCTAAATTAATTAAACATCTCGAAACGACGCCTTGTTTTACATCGATCGTTCAGAAATATTGTAACAAAAACGCATTATGCCACTAAATGCGACTCTACACATTTTTAATAAATGAAAAAAAATTAGTATTCTTTTAAAGTTTTACTTTCTTAACTGTTAATACTGACAAATACCATGAATTAATGTCAATTTCAACCAATGTAGACTAACTTTCATCTCGGCTTAACTTACTCTTTATCCTTTTTTAATTCTTAGAACTATAAAAAAATAAAAAGTAAATTAAACCAAGATTAAAGTTAATCTACATTGATAGAAACAGGTATAAGAAACACAATAGATTAAATACTTCGAGATAAAGCCTTGTTTTATATCAATCGCTCAGAAGTGTCAAAAACAAACTAATGTGACTCTATACATTTTCAACATGAAAAATGTAGTGCATTTATTTTTATTTTTTTAAAATAATTAATATACATATATCAAAGAATGCTACATACATCAAGAAATATTACGCAGCACATTGAGAGATACAAGTCAAATATCTCAAGATGACACCCGCCGTGCCTGCTCATAAGGAGGACAAAGCACAATCAGATAAAAATCTCATTTTTTTAAACTTCCTCTCCATTAATTTTCCTTATTATTAACTGTTGTATTGTGCTTCTGTATAAACCGCACTTGCGATTGTACGCGAGAATAACAGTCCGCGTTAGATTATAGAGTGTTTCGCAAGCTACATTGTGCTGATTGTACCCTATTAGGGGACTATTATCGATGCGGTGGTCCGCGTTTTTCTCGCTACATAACGCTCGAAGATATAACTATATAAATGAACGGATGTCTGATTGCGCCCCACTCTTCTCTACCATGTTGCCGCCTCACGTTTATAGTACCGGATGTGGCTGTCTGAATTTCGTATTACATCGGTACCAAACGTAACTGCCATATTAAGACTCGAGATCAAGCCGTTTAATTCAGTGCCGAGTGTATGTGTATGAGACGCGCGCGATAATATTCGCAGGATCGTGAATGGCGTACGAATAGCGACTTCGAACTAGGATTGAATCACCGTGATAAAATGAGCCTGTCACATGCTCCTTACGCTCGGTTGCATTTACACGAAAAAACAATTAGGAAAACAACCAAGCGACGTATGGCTCTTATACGTGAAGGTGCATGAGAAGGAAAGTGCGCGGAAAAGCGACAAGACACACGTGACACGAATACTCCATACCAGCATGAAATATTTAAGTGAATAATTTTTTAAAACATTTCAAAATAAAATATATCAGAAATATTTTTGTAGACATTAGTAAAACGATTAAAAATTTTGTACTGAAATATTTTACAAAAATATTTTAGAAATATTGTACAATACTATGTTGTGAGCGCAAAAATATTTCAGAAACTTTGATTTCTTCTGGACATATTTTTTTTTATATTTCAAAAATATATATTTCACGAAAAATTTTAGAAATATTTCATGCTGTTTTCCGTGAAGCTTGCGATATTGACAGCCGCGCAAAGGCGGTCCCTCGAGGTCAAGCACGTCGAGCACGTGAAAGCAACTGTGTGAAACAGTGTGATGCATCGCGCTTGCACGGCGCGTAAATGCGAGGCGCGTTCGTCGCATCCATCGGCTGTCACGATCCGTCGTGTCGTCCATAAACTGTACCGCGGTTGAGTCGAACGTGAAGAAATCAAGCCCTTTCAGGGCTTGGCTTGGTTTCGACTTTCCGAGGAAATTTCGAATAACATACATATATGGCTCGACCGGGGCGGTTGTGCCATGGTCTTAGTATTGCATCACTTTTATTTTGGGAGATTTCGTCGACTTCGGTTATATATCCCGCTTGTTCGCAACGTTCTTGGAATTATTTCACCCTTGTTTATGAAACGTTATTAAAGACAAACGATGCTTGCGAAAGTTGCGAGAGTCAAACACACCCTTCGTCTTGTGCGTATTTCGTAGAATTTATCGACTCTTCGAAACATCTCTCGCTCCTATCACTCTCTATAAATATGTTCTGCGGTCATATCGAATCCTTATCTGGGAATTAAGTGCCATAACTCTGGATGTCTATCCCCTCAAGTTGTTTTTCGCATGGTACCAAGACTCAATTGAGTCTGAAATTCTACGGATAGAAGAAGAAAAAGAAGATCAACGCTATAAGATAAAGAAGAAGAAGACTTCCCGAAGACGGAAGGAAGAGTGTGAAGACTGAAGAGCGGGACCGACCGGAGATTCCACCACCACCTCTGTCGTGTGCCCTACTGTCAACGAGGAGCACCTCAGTTATACGCCACGGGGTTGAGAAGGCGGACGCGTTTGCTCCATGCTCCGGCTTTGGCGTCCCGATGTGCGTCCCTCCGTGGAGGAAGAAATCTCCTTATTTCGCGTACTCATCGTTTCACACCCACTTCCTCGGGTCAATTAATCGAAGAAACAAATATTTACCGGTGCGACGTCGTGGGCCGGTCGATCGCTCCTTTCTATTGTCGAGGTGGCCTGGACTCTCCACGCGACTTTTCCCGCCCTTTTGATGACGCACGGCCACGAAGAATGACGTGCGACGACGCGTGTAACGAGAGATACGGAATCGGCAATGTATTAATTAACTATGTCGACTGAAATTAAATGGATATTTCTCTCGATATACTAAATAGCGATCGATAGTGAACGTCGAGTTTCTTCATTCGTTCGCGTTTTGGGCCATTAAGAATTGATGAATCGGTAAAGGATAATGGCAAGGATATTGGCAAGGATAGGGCGAATGTGAAGCACAAACGCAAAGCGCGAGACGAAGTTGTAACCTTCTTCGCCTCGTTACGTGGCGACAGGAAACTCGCGTGACACGCAGACTGTATTAGATGATATCGCACGGAAATTGTCTTATGTGTAATTCGGACTCCGTATGAGTGATGGACGAGAAACGCGGCGGCCGTTAACGTATCACGCAACGAGTGAGCGACCGGCCGATCGATCGTTCCTTCGTTCTTTCGGACAAACGGAAGCGAAGTCGTATATGCGCAAACCGAAAAATCGATTCGGGAAGAATAGTCGTAAAAAAAAGAAGATTAAAAAGCATCGGAAAGATGGATTCGGGAAAGAAGAAAAGATGAAGTGCGAACCAGACGTGAATAAAAATGTCATGTAAGTTTTATGAACAAAATTGAAACGTGAAAGATTTGTGAAGAGTCGGTAGCGATCTGTAGAAACAGAAATTGAAATCATAAAGAAAATTTGAAAATTACAAAGGATAGATTGATTCGGAAAAAAAATGTGAATCAGATGTGGTCAAAGATGTCATGTAAGTTTCACGAAATTGAAATACGAAATATTTCAATTTGTTCCGAGAAAATTCTCGATAATGATTAAAGATATATTAATTGATAATATTTATGAGATTTTAATAATCACTATAGAGAGAGATATTGAACTTCTTTAAAAAAATAATGACTGCTTCTTCGTTTGTATCGTTGAAAAGTATGATCGCGACGTAATTGCTCCGATCTGTAGAGATGAAAACCGAAATATTCTTTGATAAATAAACCTGATAATAATAGCTAAGGAATACAACTCAGAGAGCGAGCTCATAGGTGACAATTATTGATGATATTATCTCTAATATCTCACAAGCGAGATAGATTTCCGACAAGCCAATTAATTTAATGTGAATAAGAATAGAATGTAAAAATAAAAATGTGGATATTTATTAAACGAAACTTTTCACAGCTATCTCTTTTTTCACAGTTATCTTTCTTTTAGAACACATGGCGAGTCAGAACACGCCCGACCATGATTGATTAATAATCTCTATAAGATTTAAGAAATATCAGATTTCCTTGAAGAAGCAATGACCTTCGCTTATATTGTTAAAAAATATAATCGATGTCACGATAATTCCGATCGATTTCATATCATAATATAATATCATGCTTAATCATGAAGGGATGACGAGGATCGTTCATCGTACAATCGTCTCGCATCCCCGACGGCGCCAATAAGATCGTTGATATCTTCGATGATCATCGCGATGGGATTTCCATCAAATGCGACCGATCTATCATTCGATTACTTGAACGACCATATCGGGCCGACGAACGCGTCGTCCATGGGTGCAGAACTGAACTTGCCGTATACCGTCTGCGAGATCCTAGTCGCGATTTGCGCTGTCTTCGGCAATGGCCTAGTAATCATCGTCTTCAGTAAGGAGCGGAAGTTACGAAGACGCACCAACTACTACATCGTTTCGCTGGCTACGGCTGATCTGCTGGTTGGACTGTTCGCGATCCCATTCGCGATCCTCGCGAGCATCGGCCTGCCGAAGAATCTCCACGCCTGCCTCTTCACCGTATCGGTCCTTGTGGTCCTCTGCACCATCAGCATCTTCTGCCTGGTGGCGGTGTCCGTCGATCGTTACTGGGCGATACTGTATCCCATGGGATACTCGCGCACTGTACGCACTAAAACTGCCATAGGTGAGGCATCATCCTTCGCACCAATCAATGTCATCATCGTTGCTTGTCGCGCTCTTAGCTGACATCGTTAATTTGATATGTGATATCGAGCGCTCGTGTCACGAGATTAATAATGATTGATCTAAATTGATCTCACTCCCATGAGAAATGACGGAAATTCGATCGCATCGTAACGATTACACAGTTAGGCGAATTCATTTCTTACCATTTTTTTTGCTGCTTTTTTGCTAAACAAACCGTATTCGAGCGTAATTGCCAATAATTTGAATTGAATAATCGCATTTCTGGCGATATTTATATTGTATAGAATGTAGTTGCGTCTAAAATACATATATATATGAATAAAGAGAAAAAATTTATCTAATCGAGATTATTAGTTTCAAACGTTGATACAATCAGTTCTACATTCAAATCCGCAAATGTGTATATTTATAGTTTTCCGTATAAAAATAACATACTGTAATAACAAACTGCATGAAAAGCTGTACGTACACATTTAAACGTGTAATATAGTAATATTTTTATGGAAAATTAAGTTTTACACACACACACACACACACACACACACACACACACACAATTATTGAAACATAATTTTTTTTCAATGTACAATGCGCATTAATGCGTCCAACGAATTCGGATGCACTTGTGCGCACTGATGCATATTAAAATCATTGTGTACATTGAAAAAAAAATTTACTGATTTTTTTTTTCTTTAAAAAGAAAACTCTACCTAAACATTACAGTAAATAAATATTCACTTGATAAAAAAAAATAATAAGTTAAGTCAAATTCATGATCTTTGTATCAAATAAATATATGCTTATGTTTAATAAATGTTTACTTAGAATTATTTAAATAAATATTTATTTACAATTTAATATTTTTATTTCACTTTTTAATTTAAAATTCACATTTCAATTTAAAATTTTTCAGTATATTGATTTTATTTGAATGTAAAAGTGAAATGTAAATATTTTGAATTATAAAATATACATTTTTCCTAACAGTACAATAAAGTGTATTGAAGATTAAATGGTTTAATTCACTTTTATTTTTATATTAAACACACATTTTTAAACAACAATTTATATACGACGGCTTTAATATTGAGTGCATTCAATTCGATATTACCTAGATTTGCAAATGTTACATAGATGTATATAATTTCTAGTATCTTATTGATGCAATAAAAGCGTGTACTTGGCAAGTATGACTCTTTGGGCCATTCAAGTAATATAAATTACGAGTTAGACACACATGTGGCACTTAGTTGCTCAATTACGGACTTGTTTAGTCAAGGGCCGGTCAAAGAAAACTCAGAGGTCTTTAGGTGTGTTATTAACTACGTTGATGTCGTTAACGAAAGGAACAACAAAAGAGTCCGGTAGTCGTGCGCAATATTCTAGTCCCAATTTCCGGCACGTGCCCGTATGAACGTGAGGACATAGATATACGAGCTGATAATTACGATAGCATTGTTCGCGTAATTCGCGATTGTTGTACCGTGTTTCTGTCTTAAGTCGCGTCGCATGATGTTGTGTTGCGTTTATTAAGTGTGAATGCATACGCCAATTATCGCGAATATGCAAAACAATTGTGAAATTGCATCGTACTTCTTAAAGTAATCGTAAACTCCCACGTGTTCCCTCCTCCGCCCCCCTCCTTTCCCCCCAGTCCCGATTTTGTGCACGAGAAATTCTTGAACTGAGGCAAATTTGATTTACAGTTTGAGAGAAGACATGTTTCAAAACGATTTGAAAAGAAAAAATCAACCAGTCATAATTTTGTTTCAAGACTAGAAGTGGGTGATTTCTAAATTCTTACAGATCCTGATTTGAAAAATCAAAAGAGATACCTCGGCGAATTTTCTTACTTCAAAAGTGACACTTAGAAAATTAAATTTCTCGAAAAAACTTTTTCAACTTGACACAAAATTATTGCCTAATCAAATAATAAAAAATATATATATTCTGAATATGATCAAATGTCATTTTTGTAATTTTTATTTCGATTTAAGAAAATTAAAAAAAAATTCCTTTTTGCGTTGTGATTTTGATGATTGTCATTTTGATTTTGAAATAAGAGAGCAATATTTAGACATTGTTTTGTAAACAGTGATAATATTTTAAACATTGAATATTTCTTCGAAAAAGTTATATTTAGATATCCTTTATTATTTTGTAAATATTTATTCTCTATACATAAGTGATAATACAACGTTAATTCTAAGATCAGTACGGAGTTTTTAATAAAATAGAACTTATTTTAAAGGCAAGGCTTTAACTCTCAAATTAAATCTTTTTATGAGCACGCGATAATAAAAGTGATAAATTATGTAAATGTCTATAAAAATTTAATTGATATATCCTATAAGTATTATAAAATTTTTCAGAAACTGTTCAAACAAATTTTAAAGAATTAAGAATGAACAGAAATATTTTTATTATTTTTCACTTTAATTCAGCGATAAAAAATCTTTTGAATCAAGCAATCCAGTGATAAATACAAAATCTATCAGCATATAGTGTTTATTTTTTTCTTTTGAATTTTTCAATCGTTCAAGATAAATACAAAACTGATTAGGCTAATACATAGTCTTCAAAGTATTCTGAAATGTCAGTTCCTATATTGCCTGATAACGCATTTCCCAACGGAGTGCCTCTTTCCAAGAATGCACCAAGCGAATCGATAAGAAACTATACATATATCCGTATCCGCAGATATATATACAAAAATTACCTCATCAATGTAGAAACCGAGGAGAGCGTAAGAAATCGATGTTAATCGCGATGAATGACCAATGCGTAATGAACAGATGCGCGCGAATAAGTTATTATCGGAATCATTTGAGCGTACGCATCTAATTATCGCGACGACGCGACGTGACGACGACATGGCGCGTCGATCCATTGACAGTGAAGCGATCAATGGAGACCGAATGGAACGATAGTAATGGAAAAGATGATTGGTTTATAGGTATAATATGCGCATGCTGGGTAGCGGGCACTCTGGTAGGCTTCTTACCGCTCTTCGGATGGAATGCCGGTGAGATGAATGATCACAGGTGCATTTTCACGAAAGTCATGGACTACGACTATCTTGTGTTCCTGTATTTCGCCACAATTATCTTCCCCGCACTGCTGATTGCGGCTTTCTACGCTCATATATATCGAGTAATCGTGAAACAGGTCAGTCGCATGAAAGAGAGATCCTGATGGCGCGACGCCCTTACAAAAATTTAATTCTCCATCGGCAATGTGAAATTTTTACCCTTCGTCCTCAATCTGTAATCTTCAAACTTCAGTGCAGATTTTTATATTGTTTTGGATCATTGTATAAAAATTTGAAAAAATTTTTATATACAATATTAAATAATAAAAGAATCAAATTTATATAAATTCTTTAAGTTAAATAACATTTTGTTATGTTTGACTTCCAAATGTGTTAAAGTATATTATTTTAATACAAAACATGTGATTGTTGATTTTGAGCTAAATTTATTTAACTCCATTAATATTGACTAGTTATTTGTAATATTGCAAATAAAATTTCTGCAGTTGGGAACCTGATATTGGCCTAGTTTTCACCGAAGGTTTAATCCGAATCAGAATGTAAGAACCAACCAATTACAGTATTCCCCTGTCGTTCGACTGTAACAGGGGAATACTCGATTGTAGTTGGTTGGTTCTTACATTCTGATCCGGATTAAACTCTCGGTGAAAACTAGCAAACGAGAATGGATTGAAATTTTTTTCTATCCGAATGCGTATTTTAAATAGCGAATACTTTTTTTTTAATTTAATTGGATTCACAATTAGATTCAATTGGATGCAATTGGATTTAAAAACTGCATTTCTTATTCAAAATTTTGAATTGAATAGTATTCACAATGTGTGTGTGTATGCACAAAAAAAGCTAATATTATTTTTAGATTGAAAGGCATAGAAATGTGCTCCAATTCTTATAAATAAATAAAAATGCATTCAGGATTGAAAAACATTCATTTTAACATTCATGAATCAATAATATTTCTGAAAATCTGAGTCCATTTCGATTCATTTCAATTCAATCCATTCTCGTTTACTGAGTAGGACTCACTTTTGACGGGAGAATCAATGATTATGATTTAAGAGATGTATCATTACTGATGATGGCTACAAAGAGAGCCAAAATGTTTAATGAAGAAGATTAAACATTATGGAAATTAATTTTTGGAGTGGAATTTAATCTCTGGCACTTTTATTGATCTTGTCTCGAATTAGCCTTGAATTTATTGTTTATTTTTAACTTCAATTTATTTTTAACTTCATAGTTTCAATCAAATTAAGAACATATTAAATATAAGCAATACTTTATTAAAAATAATTTAAATTGAATATAATTTGTCATTACGAAGTTAATAGTGTATGAAAATGTTAATAATGATTTTTTTAATATCACAAAAGTTGGATTGTATTTTATTTATTTTTCACAAATCTAAATTTATTTGCCAGAATTCACAGTCAAAAAATCATTTCTTTAACATTCCAGAGAACTAATACTAAAAGATATTCATTAATTGTGTATTTTGAGTTAAAAGCTCTTGTTTAAAATATTTAAAATATTAATCAGTTTATTTAGCAATTATTATCATTTACTTTGGCAAAAATAAAAATCGGAGTGTAAATCAGATATAAGGGAAGAATAATAGGAGAGTAAACGAAGTTTCTAGAGAGTGAAAATGGAAATAAGGAATTGTAAAAGAAGCATATAAACGCTTCTTTTACGTTTGCTTCAATTTTCGTCTCTTAGAAATTTCGTTTACGCTTCTGTTACTCTTCCCTTACATTCAATTTACACTGATTTTTATTTTTGCCAGGGTAGTATCAAATTGGCTAGATTAAATTAAATTTTTGTGAGGGCATCGCTTACAAAAAGTAGCTGGAAATAATCAAAGAGAGTAACGGATACGACGGTTATAGCTACAGCAAATCGTTACGATGGATCCCAGTGATCCAGGGGATGGTAGTAGCGTTCGCCGTCTCGGCGTCCTTCGTCTCGGCGGCCGTTTGAGCGGTAATCATCATCAGACGACGGGAACAATGCTACGTTGTCTAGGCGCTGCGCGTAAAAGGGAAGTCAAGGCCACGCAGAATCTTTCCCGTATCGTCGTCTTCTTCATCGTTTGCTGGTTTCCGCTATATACGATAAACTGCGTGATGGCTTTCTGCCCGCACTGCGAAGTGGATGACTTCTTCATGAAGTTCTGCATCATCCTTTCGCACATCAATTCGGTCGGCAATCCGCTCCTTTACGCCTACCACCTCAAGGACTTTCGCATCGCCCTTAAGAACTTCGTCTGGAGGCTGCTTTTTCCGCATAGCGATGTCAAGTCCAGTGTGATCAGTGTGATCCACGATCGAGGTTCTCTCGTCGGTTCACAGAGGCAACTTCAAAGGCGATTCAGCGGCTTTGATCAACCGAGGAGTCAGAGGCCGAGCTTGCTACGCCAGGTACGGTGATATTTGACCTACTTGATGTTACTTCATTTGATTCGACTTATATTTTCGTCTTATTATTATTATTATCTATCTTCATTTAATTGGCTGTCACAGGTTATTGATAACAATAGAAGAATGGACAGTACGTACTCCGAAAGGCGTGTCTCGTTAATCCGACAGAAAGAAATGCACCAAAACATTACGGACATCAGCATTACAGTCGGAAGTGCGATTCTAATGAGCAACTCCGCGCCGATGAACAAACGGATGATTGAGAAGGAATTAGCCAGCGACGGCGACATCGTCGACCGCGCCGACGATGCGACTGATCATGGAATTTCCTCCTCAATGGAACTGCAAACATACAAATCACTGGCACCTCTTCTGCCCGCAGAAGAAGATCGCATCGAGGAAACGCCGCCTGCATCGATCTTCGTTATCGAGGCCGACGTGGTGAATCATGCCTCTCCTGATCATCTCCTGGTTGTGGAAGAATCTCGGGACAGAATCGACGTAGCGGGTGGTTAGTAGAGGAATTGAAAGAAAAGAATTGAAACATTCTTTAAACGAAACTAAGGAACATTTGAACTTTTTTTCTTCAAAATTTCTTGATGTATTGATTTATTTTAATTAATTACTTATCGAGTGTGCCATATAGATGATATCACACGTGTTTTAGTGTAAATTTTAATGAATTGAACATTAAAATGGAGCGACAGTAATTCTCTATTTAAAGCTTCAAACAAAAAGACAAAGCAACAAACGGAGCATGATGCGTCAACGACTTCCATTTTTTTATTATATATTGTAAATAAAATCTAAGTAGAACAGTAGGTAGATAAGAGAAACTTCCAGGATATTTAAGAAAAATATGTTGTTTTCGAATGGTTGGTGAGAATAAAATGCCGTTGTGGGATTCATGCAGGATTGTCAAGGGTGATAAATATACGCAGAGGGGAAAATATACTTAATGTTGTACAATAGAACAATGCATTGTGATTATGTATCCACTCGTATTCCCGTAGAACGTTTGCACGATGCTTGTGCAATATTCTACATATCGTAATTGGCATAACTAGATCAACATGCGCCATTCCTCTCATTTACTCTTATGTGCGATATTTACTAAATTATATGCCCATACGACACCCATATGTATATCAATATAATTTTCTAAAGTCATTAAAATGATATTTTAATGGACAAGAGTATCGATCGCGATACTATTAAATAATTATCAGCCGTACCCGTTATTAAAATTAATAAAATTTGGTGAACTGCTCTCTAAAGATGATAATTCATAGATAACGAGATTTTAATCATTAGCTAATTTTAATTGAATTTTGGTTTAACAAAACATTGATGTAAATTTTAACAGAAAATATTTCAGTAAAAAAATTTTTAACAATTTTTAAGAAATTTTCGTCAAATATGTCCTATCAAATGTACATCTTTTTTATCAAAATGCAAATAAGTTTATTGTTAAAACTGCGAGAAATGTTAAATTAACAAATATTATGCGATGGATATTATGCGAATGGATCGATAAATTTAATTATTTTAATACTCATTCTCTCTCTCTCTCTCTCTCTCTCTCTCTCTCTCTCTCTCTCTCTCTCTCTCTCTCTCTCTCTCTTTCTCGATCTTCGTAGTTATTTATTTTTGCGTTGACTATAATAAATCTCAAAAAATTATCTGTGTTATTTTTTATTTAAAATTTGGGATTATATAAGAATCCTAGTTTCAAATTTAGACAATTTTTATGAGAACTCAAGATTTTGAAATCTTGGAAATATTGTGACGATTACTTTATTGAATAAGAAAATAAAATTGATTGAAAAAGATATGTGTATGTATGTTACTCATATGAATTTTTAGCAATTCGATAAGCATTTTAAATTGTGTAATGCGACATTACGACGAACGAAATCGATGTTATTAAAGCTTCGTGCGTGTAATCCATATGTGCATTTGATGCTTTATTGTTACCCAAATTCTTCTAGTTGGCAAAAATTTTTTTTAAAGCTTTTCATAGAATTTTTCAGAATTTTTATAATTCTCTAACTTTTTCAAAGATTTAAACAATTTTTTAAAATATGAATTAAGAGAATTTAAAAAAATTTTGGTCTATAGATGTTTTCTTTTACAACTTTTTACAAATATGATTTTAAAAGATTCTATTTTTAAGATTTTTCATTTTATAATCTCCAAAAAAAAAGATTTATAAAATCTAAAGAAAGCACTCTAGTAGCAAGCTAATGTTGTTTGTCGTCATAAAAATGATATCATTAATATCCTTTTGACACCAAATGATGACAAATAATATTGGCTTACTATACCTAGGATATAGATATTTGTTAAATTTAAGATATTAATCTTCAGAAATCTTCACAAATCTAAAATCTACAAAATTCTTAAAAATATTATATTGTATTAGGAAAATCTTTTTAATCTTTTTAATCTATACTTCAATTCTTTTCCAATCATCTTGACGCATACATGATATTGTATTATTGCGTCCTTGCATCTTATCAAAATATTCGATTAATTGTGCCCAATCAACATCAGAGTTCTCTGACTCAACATCAGAGTGATCTGTAATCGATATAATTCTTAAAATTAGAATAAATATGAAGTAAGTTAAATCGAGAGTAAATAAGTTAATCTATATTAGAGCATTCTATATTAGTATCTATATTAGAAATGGATATCGTCTGTTCTTTTTCTATTTTTTTTTTTTCAATTTACATTTCCCAGAAGTTTCGTTCACATCTTTGTTTTTCCTTACATTCGATTACACTCTGATTTTTATTTTAATTCAAAAACATAAATTTTAATTCAAAAACATAAATATTATTGCAATAAATGAACGAAAAAGCCTCACTCTATCCTATCATCATAAATGATAAAATCTTATCGCGAAAAAGTGATAAGAAATAAATATGCGTAATCTACTGGTGCGGTTGATAGTTCGAAACGCAACAAGTGGCGGGAAAATATGGCGGCGGCCACAACAACGCGCGTTCCCGCCTTTTTCGATTTACTGTGTCGGCAGCCGGATTGCCGGAGTCAGCCGGAGCAGTGTCGAGGAGCACGTTGGAATCAGTGATCAAGCGGATGACAAATCGAATATTGCTCGGAATGCATCGAGAAACGCCGAGATCTAGCTCTAGACACGCGGATATCGAGAAACGATCGATTTGATGCTTGAAACGAAACATGAATCCGAGCGAGGTTGAATTCCTCGGTGAGAAACAGCTGGTCAGTATTGTACCGAATTTCAACTCCGACATAATTTACCTGATCTCGGGTTCAGTGGGTCCGTTTCGCGCCGGTTTACCCGTCAGAGTGCCGATCTGGCTCGCCGTGTGCCTGAAACAGAAGCAGAAATGCCGTATCGTCAGCCAAGAATGGATGGACATCGAGGGTCTGAACGAAAGGAAAGAGATGGAGAAGATGTCCAAGTAAGCCCTTGCCAGAGTTTCTTCTCATTGTCATACTTGTCAGCTGCTATGACATCTTGTTTTCTGTCAATCTTTGATTTTGAGCATTTTAATATAAACTCCATTCAATAGAATGTTTATTTGCAACTGTTACACAACTGTTACTGAGAGAAAAATGTACTAAATTTTAATATTTGAATAGTGCCAATTATATATTTATTAAGTGTAAACATATATTTATTTTGATACAAGAATCATTAATTATTTGATTTGAGTATTATTATTTTTTGTTTAGTAAATATGTATTTTCCGTAAATAAATGTTATATTAGTGTTATTCAAACAATTATTTATTAAAATTTAGTACATTTTTTTCCCAGAATAGTAATCCTGTTGAATGAAACTTAAACTAAAATGTTTTGCAATTGTTGGAAATTTTCTGCTTTAAAATAGTACAATTTCTCTAGACCTAAAAATATAATCCTATTAGTACAAAGAAAACTTTAAACAGCTGAACGTAACTATTCAAATTTTATAATAGTAATTTGACTTATTCCATATAGAAACGCCTACCTATTTATGAAAATTCCAATGTACCAGGTTGTTTACAGAAATGCCAAGCAGTCATTATATGGACGAGAGTCAAATTCTGCTGAATGTGGCGAATGATGATATTCCTGATGCAGATGGAATAAGAATTGCCGTAAAGGTGAGTGAGGATCAATTAACTCTTATACAAGAGATATTTTTACAAAGGTAGAATTTATATATATGTAATTATTTGTATTTTAGGACATATGGGATATAAGAATGTCTAAATTACGAACATCCGTAGATGCTTTTGTGAAGAGCGAAGGGGTGCATGCAAGACTGGATCATCTCACTGCAATGGAAATTAATGGTATACGTCCACTACTTCCACATGCATTAGATCAAATGTTGCGGATACAATCTGTAAGTATATGGCTGTAAACTTTTAAATTGATATATCTATTTTCCTTACATGCAAGAATTTTGTTAATTTTATTATTACCATCTATCCTTATTATTATAATTTTTATCATTTTGCAATAGTTATTTTATAGTTAGTATAAGCTTGTTTGCATGGCTTCTTTATAGGCAAATTCAGATGAAGCAAATTCTCAGCAGAGTAGTGGAAGTGGAAGTTTAAGTATGTAAGAAAAATATCTAATTATTTATATTAATGCTGTTGTGACAATAAATAGAGAGAGAGAGAGAGAGAGAGAGAGAGAGAGAGAGGAAGAGATATTTTTATAATTTTTATGTTTAATTGTATACATCAAAAAATTTGTATATTTAATAATTTATTTTTTGTACTCAATTATATATATTATATATATTTCTTGATATGTGTCACCAATATCTCAATTGTATTAGATCATGTATAATATAATATAATATAGATACAGGGAATAAAATACACGATATATTTGAATATTATATAACGCTTTTATTAGCTAGCTTATTTTCATACTGTTACATACATTCACTAGCATATCTCGATCACATTTTCTCACTATATATAATAAGTGCATATTTACATCGGTGATTGCTCGATTGTCTTATTCATTGTCCATTATCCTATGGCATTTATATTTACATTTGCTAAGCTTATAATACACACAGTTCCTTAACAATCTTTGATTTTTTTCTCCTTAAAAATAATCGCGCGATCGTAAGGCCACTCTTTAGAAAAGTCGAGGCATTCTACTCTCATTTGTTAGATTTTTTTCAAAAATATACAAATTTTGTGTAAAAAATTATTAGAAAGACAGCGAAAATATTCGCAAAATATCGCATAATAATAAGTATTAATTAATATTAAGTTTTTGCATGCTTCGATTATAATCAACCACAAAAAAAAGATTAGATAATAATAACATTTTTCATTAAAATATATATATATATATGAAATTAGGAATTTGAAAAAAATTAATGCATTCCGGCGCATTGCGCATTTGGCAGTGTTAATAAATTAATTATTACAATTATCGGCAAGTATAACACGAGTGAATAAATGAAACCTATTATGACGCAGACAGGCGGCAATATAATTTGCATTTTTAGTCGATTTAAAATAAACTATTGTGCATTATTTAAAACGACGTTAATAAGTACCATATGTCCCGTCAAGCGAGTACTCAGAAATATCACATAATGTCTATTTGCAGAAACATTAACATTTCTTCAAAATCGTTAATGCATTCCCTTAGACCGCTACGATTTTACTAGGATCCACTTTAACTCGAATAAACATGGTATCGTCTTTGACGAAGTGTCGTTTCTTTACCATTTCATGAGAAACAAATCTTGGGAAACCGAAACCAAGAGAGTCTGGTTCACGACTCGGCCGTTGAAAGTTCTTCCATGTCGGGTCTGGTATGAAGCTTTCCACGATGTTGCAAGCCTTTTCCGCGATGACTGTCTGATCGAACATTGTGAACGATACGCTGTGCGAGAATGGCCATCGCAGAAGCGCATCATACTCGCCAGGTAGGATTTTTATGTATATCGATATATGACTGCCCTCTCCGGTCCCGTTTCCGTTTAAGAAGATGGAAGCCTATAAAATCGAAAAATCTTTTTAGCGAATTAATTTAACATTTAATCTTTTAATGCCAACTAACCAGACAATATAAATATATTTTAAAAATGCCCGACACAGAAAATCCGCAATTCAGTCTTAAGGAAATGAAATTCTATTCTGTATACTTATTTATTTATGCTTTTAATTACTCTGAAAAATATAATATATGAGATTGAGTGACTACATTTTTATTATATAAATCTTGTAATAATTTTTATAATAAATCTCTTTTAATACTTCATTTAAAGCTTTGTCTCATTAATTGCAATGATATAAATTTGATGAAATATATAATTTACTTTTATATATTATATAGAAGGACGAGAGAATGATACAATTAATTGCGCAAGGAACTCGTGCATATTATTACATATATGTGTTATATAGAATTATAACTATGACATCACAACTCTGGTGACTCCTACATGGTAAATAATACTGTCAGTATTAACAAATACTGGCAATATTACTGATCATGTGTGTGTGATTAATGAATTGATGTAGAATATTGATGGAGAACTGGATTTTTATTTTCGTGCATCAGTATCGTTTTATTAGAATTCATGTCACATTATGTCACAATAAATAATGTACATAAAATTAAAATGAAATATATTATCAATAATATTGATTGTGTTGTAAAAATACTAAAAATATTAATGTATACTATCAGTATTACTGTTCAGTATTATTGACCGTGTAGAGTCATCTTGAAGCAGAGTATCGTACAATTTTTATTACGCTTTTAAGATGCAGCAAAACGAAAATCGAATCAAAAATTTATTATTGATATATTTACATATGTAACGTACCTGTAATTTGTATCCGTATTGACTAGTATAAAAAGGTGGACTGACAAGCTCCATCCCTTCCTTCGCTTTTGCTTCCGACATCTTGGCGGCATAATCCGTAATTTTCCATATAAGCGTGCCCGTGTAATTTAACGATAGCTTGCTAATCGCTGATTTCAAGCTAGTAATTTGATGTTGTTGTTTCGTCACCAAACTGCACATGAGACTTAGATGCATCTTTGCGGATTCCTCCAGATGTTTGTCTAACGAGAATCTATTTCCCTGTTACAGAAAAATCATGATGTAACATCTTTTGGACTAGAATTAAAATATTAAATGAGAGAATAAGTATCGTTTAAGCAAATTAACAAATTATAAATATTTTAAATTCTCAAATCACTTCAATTATATAACATCGTTACTGTCGATATTAAAATTAAAGATAGAATCCAACAGGGCGAATGAGAGTACAGCGCAGTTATTTGTACGCAAAATAATAAAGTAATATTTTTACTCTTTTATTCTAAAATTTACAATGTCATTCAAATAAATTGTACGTTTCGATTCACTTTGGAGTTTTCAGCATTGAATTACGAAATTAGTGTGTACATCCTCTACATGTCAAATTGAGCATCAACAAATTGTAGATTTAACTAATTTTGTAATTCAAAACTGAGAAGGCCTTCAAAGTAAATCAAAAAGTACAATTTATTTGGATGCCATCGTAAATTTGAGAATAAAAGAATAAAATTATTATTTTATTTTTTTCGTACTGATAATTGCGCTGTACTCTCATTTATCCTGTTAAATTTTACTTTTGATTTTAAATTCCCAAAGTTAGGAAAATTTGTATTTACTTCATCGAATCAATCGATCAATTAATTTGTTTTTTTATTATTCATTCTTTATTTCTCAATCTCGGAAAAGAGAAAAGCGCAAATTTTTCCGAAGAAAATTTAAAGTCATATACAGAAAAAAATTAAAGTATGTGAAGTAAATCTTTTATTTCTTATTAAATATTCAATTATATTTCAGAGTGATGTTAAGATATTTATGTGATATATATAAAAGACTAAAAAGAGATTCGAATCTCTTCGTATCAATTTCTCATTCTAAATCTCGAGTATTGTATTTCGTAGAAATAAACCTGTTTCAATTTTTAAATTTATTTACCTTTTTATTATAAGCAGACATAAGCTATGACATGCGAAAAAATAATACCTTGAAGCGGCAACCAGCGTCCTTGAACGTGCAAGAAAGCAGATGCGTGGTGCAATGATCCTTCAGGTGAACCTCGAGATCCTCTCGGGGTAGCACCGCGGTTTCGCAACGATGAGGACATGCTACTGGGAATCGACCGCATTTCGCGTGATGAGCGCCGAGCGTATCGAAAACGAATTCTTTGTTACAGTAACGACAGGCGACTAGTCTTTTGGCACACTCTCCCAGCTTGTGTTGGCCGAGGTGTCGCCTTTGCACCTTCATACCACATTTGTTTTCGCAATAAAGAGGCTCGTAACCGCATGTCCCCGTGTGTTTCTGCAAACATTATGTTTTTACAATTATCTTCTGGAATCAATAATTTTTAAAAAAATGTCTAATGGAAGTAACAAATTTAAAAAAAAAAGAATCCGGTTTATATTTAATAAAATTAATTAAATTTATCGAAGTTACAAATATTTGAAATTACAGAAACAAACAACTAAAATAAGACTTGTGCGTGCTTAAGCGAATGAAATATCAAGTAAAAGAGGTAAAACTAGTAAAGCAATAATATTCAATTAAATATTCAAAATAATGATATAATGACATAATTTCATTATATAATTATTATTTTGAATAAATATATACCTCTAAAGTGTGTCCGGTAAATTCTTTGGCACAAAAGTCGCAACGAGCTCTACGCTGAGCGCAGGTATACTTCAGATGATCCTCCATGAGTACGCGAGGTATCATCGCCCCGCATTTATTGCCGCAAGGAATCGCATCGTGTTTACACGTATTCAGGTGTGCCTGCGATAAGAACAACATCTAAATTTAGTTGGTCCATCGAGACACAATTCTCATTCTGTAATACCGAGCATTCTTTTACGATGACTTTACCTTCAACTTCCTCAGCTCGTCCGACCATTTGCAACCGTCCTTGTGATGTATGCAGTATACGATGGAGCCCATTATTGCCTTTTCTGCCTCCGTGTCTTGGAAGTTCTGAAAAAGACCGAGACAAAGATGTTATTTACCTTCGTCTGTTTGCTGTTTGCTGAAACATAAAACGTAAAACAGTTGGTGCGCCGTATACCGTAACTCGAAATTTAAACGTCTGGATTTTTATTAATAGAATTCATAGAATCTTTTCAGAGAATCTTTTTAGCAGAGTTCCGTTACCTTAGGATCCTTTTTCCTCAAAATACTTGAAATAATATTTTATTTTTTATTCTTAAAATATGTTAAAACTTATAAGAAAGTTAAAGTGTAATTTTAATTAACTTTTAATTTAATTACTTGAAGTTTTTCCATTCAATAAAAGAATATAATGCATAATATTGTTTATAAATAAATTTCAGTAAATCATTGCCACAAATTAACGTGAATTATTTATTAATGATTTAAAGATGATTTCACTTGAATTGCAAACTGGAAGGACTCTTTATTTTGAATTGTTCGTGCAATTTGTTTAAATTGCAGTTTATTTGATCTGTGATAATCGGAAAATTATTTTTCAGGATATCATCGGCTGGGCTATTTTTCGAAATATCAAAGTGATAACACAGAATGTAGCGCCGTGGGAGATAATGTCTCGTGCAGAGAACCATGTGGGAGGTACAAGCCAGGAATACTTTAAACCCATTGTTGTGTTGTTCAAGCGATTGCATCATTGATGTACATAATCCAAAGTGTTTTCAAACTTATTTTCGCAAATAGACCAATGTAAAATATATTTTATTTTTATTATCATAAGATTCCCATACCACAAATGTCCAAGAGACATTTCTGAAGAACATTCTGAGAATATCCTAAAGTACCAAGAACATTCGCAGAATTATCTCTGAGATAAAGTATGCTGTATGTATGGATTGTAACATTTGTTTAGCCAGAATACGTAAAAATTTGGAAATTTATAATATGTTATACAATAAGTATAATTCAATATAATCGTTCGTTAATTATTTATTTTTTAGTTTTAAAAAGATAGAAAATTGCCAAAAGATAAAAAATATTTTGATTATGTCAAAGTGATAGACAATTGTGAAAAATAATTAACAAAACATTGATATACGTACATTACTAAAAATTTTAGTTATATTTCTCTCTTTCTCTCTCTCTCTCTCTCTCTCTCTCTCTCTCTTTCTCTTTCTCTCTGCTTTTTTTTCTATCTTTCTATTAACTTATTTGTCAAAATTATTTTCTTGGACAGCACATCAGTTCAGGAAAAGGAATCGTAAGATCCAATCAACCATTCGTATACAAATCCGGTGTATATAAATGCGTGTGCGAACACGCTCGAAGGTGCTTGGAAGTTGAAACCTGTATGACCGGCAAGGTCGAGGAACCTAACGCAACCAGCCTAGCGGTGAGATATAAACAGAAAAGAAATGAAAGGGACAAACCTACCTTCTCCCTTTCAAGATCGCTTTCGAATGCTTTATATCGAACGCTTCAAAATTGTATTGTATTTGGAACCCTTTAAAAAAAAGAAGAATCAGAAACATGATATACATACATGAAAAAAAATCAAAGAACCTGAGATACTTGTCACGTACGAAGTAAATCGATACAAAGCGAAGAATAAATCATAGCATTCGAATATATCATATAAAGATCTTCATATCATTATATGAAATCACATTAATAAATAAAGAAACCGACAAGATTTCATATTAAAAAAGAAGATAAAGTTATTAATACAATAATAATAATAACAATAATAATAATAATAATAAATATAACTCTAAAGTTTCTGCTCTATTAACTCATCTATTGTTCTCTCCTCGGATCCAGCTCTTTTTACATCGTACTAAGTTTCCGATATTAGAATACTGGGCACCGCAGGTAAGCATGACGTTACGGTAAAGTAACGGACAATCGATCTTCGCATGTTCTACTTATTCTTCATGCCTTGCAGCGTCGAAATATGTTCGATGTTCAATATTCACTGTCATTGCCATCATAAACGATCAATAGTAAGCGTAATTTAAGCAGCATGATTTGTCTCTTGCCTGACCTCAACGAACCAGATGCATTTTAGATCGAGATCCATATATAGAATTTATAAAATAACAAGTGCACCTTGATGTAATATTCCTGATTTAGGTTGCATAATAACATTTATTATTTCATATTATTCTATTTTTAAAAAATTAATCCGATTGCTGTTTGATGACAACATTCTCAGGTATTCTGCTTATCGTCTGTCTTTGATGTGACTCCACTGCAAAATGGATTCGATGATGTAAATGGTATAAAAATTATACCTTACATTCTCCTTGACGACATCAAGATATTCCCACGAATCGACTGTTGCGAACTCGCACTCCATTCGAATAACCGTCTACCTCTTTTCGGATCCAACGACCTTGGTGAATGGTCAAAAATTAACATACGACGCGACATGCGTTTGATCTCCGCCTCCTCGTTTCCAAAAACAGTCGAATCTTAAATCATATCGAGGTGATAAAAAAATGAGTCGATTTAACTATTCAAAGCACACTAATTATGACGCAAAACCGTCCTTTCAATTCCTTCCTGTTCTGAACATGCATAGGAATTTTATTGTTGCTCGAGAAACCGTTAGTTCACAAATTATTAATTGTTAATAAATTAATGTTTTCAATCTTATTTAGCTTTAAAATGTATACATTATTCATAGATAGAATTAAATATTGATATAAAAAGAGTTTAATGTGATGTAAACAGGTGATGTAAACAATTACATAATTCATGACACTTTCTGAATTTTTATACTTCTCAGAAATGTTTCAAATTCCTATATCTCACATAATTTTATATTATCCTATTCTTTATATATTCTTTATTTTTGTTATTTGGCTTCTTTTTTTTTTCTAAAAGAGATACAATTCCATACATCGCAAATCTCCCAGGGACATCCTGAAGGGAGTTTCAGAGAACGTATGTCCTCTGAGAAAATTTCTCATAAAGTATATGCTATATAAAATCTCTTTATACGTTCCGTTCTTCAATATATACAGGAAAGATTTTCAAATAGATTCGTGTTCAACGATACAATTTATATAAATTACACTAATTGTGAGAAAAATAATTTTTAGTATTTGTGATTATAATTATATCATAATCACAGTTATTACTGTTATAATGTTAATAATAATAATTTTACTTATAGTTCTATAAAAAAATATATATAGTTGACACTCAAAATGACTATATTGTATATATATTATACACATATATAAAAATGCAATTATCATAATTTAATTGTAAGTTATAGTTACTTTCAATACCAACTACATGTATTTTATGATATAAAGCTGTGTAAATATAATTATTATTTATACTAATATTATAGCCATCATAATTGTGATATTATGTAATTATAATCACAAATATCAAAAACTTTCCTCTCAGTGTAGGTCAATTCGTGAAGAAAAATCAGAATAATTTTTTATTTCAATATTTCTTCCACGTGTGCATGCGGAATCTACAGACAATTGTATGCAGAACTGTTTCAGAAAAAGTGTAAATGGAGAAGGCAAGATGAGATGTGTCCATTTGCGTCACTAAAGTTGGTGATTGTTTACGTTAGCCTTAGCGGGTTCTGCGTGCGATATAGAATGCTCGCAAACGGATGGAGGTTCACGGTTCCCCTCGCAGAGCGAGTTGCCACGGAGCGTAACGTTCTCGTTCACTCGAACGATGGAGTTCATCGTCGTGGAATGCACGGCGAGGAACAATGCGCGAGGAAGAGGAGGAGAACGCGAAGCCGCGCCACTTCCGGCGTAGACCAACCGGAGAATGCCACTGTCGTCATTGTCATCGTCGTCGTCGTCGTCGTCGTCGTCGTGGGAAGAGCGGGGACAAGAAACGAAGAATAGCCGAGAGCTTTTAATATACCACACCGTAATTATGTTGCTCGTTGGACTAAACGTAACCGTCGTTCGGCGTTATCTCACATTCTCGCATTCCTGAGCAGCGGAGGATGACACTAGGGAACCACAAAAGGTTGCGACAATTGTGGATGTGCGCGTTCTCTCTTGGATTTGAAACGCACGTTCGCAGCTGAAGAGTGAAGACTAATACACCATCAAGCATATCAGGGGGTCTAAGAAACTTCTCTCTAGAACGCGAAAATATATCTTCCCACTTTCTAAAGCCTTATTAAATTCGCTAATCTGCGTTATACAACGATTGTATCTTACTGCTCATACATTTCAACATAATAGAAGAGAAAAAACAGTGTATTGTATTTAGAACTTAGAAATAATTTCGAATAAGATTTTTTCCGATGAAGATCTGCAGACATAATTGGAAATTTGATATTTATCTATATAGTAGAAAATATAACTTTGAATTTGACTAGCATGTTAGATTCAGTCTTTAATTAAAGAATCGATGATAAATAATCTTTTTTCAATTTTTTAAAATACAAAATTAGAGAAAAGATTATGGCATTGAAATTAATATCATTAAAATTAACAATATAAAGAAACGACTCAGATGATTACAAATCAATTATGAAAAATATTGTTAATTTTTAACGCAAACAACAGTTTGAAGTTCAAACTCTGAGACCTCAGAGAAATTTTTTTAGACGAAGATGAGAGAAAAGGTATTTGCCTCGAAATTAACATTTTTAATCATTCATTAATTTTTTATGAACAAGAATTTAAAGATGAAGTTCAAACTCTGAAGTCTCAGAGAATTTTTTCGTCGAAAATGAGAGAAAAGGTTGTTTTGAAAGTAACACTTTTAATTATTCATTAATTTTTTACACGAACAAGAGTTTCAAGATGAAGTTCGAACTCCAAGATTTCAGAGAAATTTTTTTTGACAAAAATGAGAGAAAAAATTGATGCCTTGAAACAAATACTTTTAATTATTTATTAATTTTTTACACGAACAAAAAGTTCGAAGTTAAAGCTCAAATTCGAAGGTCTTTGAGAATTTTTCATTTTGTTAAGGTGCTGTATTTGCTAACATCAGTTAACTCCAATTTAATATATATATTCTTTTCAGAATCCGGGATCCGGAAATTGCGGTAAGTAAGTCAATTATGAAACATACTCGGGTGTGTTTCTTTTAACCGAATACTTCGCGTCACCGTCTCGATCATCGGATCGAGAAGAAGCAACGGAAGGAGAGGTCGAACGACTTCGGAAGCGGTCGAGGCCATCTGTTACGCTTGGTTCCCACGCTTCCGCTGCCCGCCGGTCGTGCCTTACAGCTAATATTTTATTCCAGTGAGATAGCACCGGGTGCTCATGCACGAAATTCTACGAATCATATAGAAGCACGAAGAAAAAATCCTCGTCGTCGTCGTCATCGTTGACGCAACATCTGGCGACAATACCGAAATGCGACTGTCAAGAAGAACCGTTCTCCTGGCGCGGGATTCTTGCAACGCAATCTTGGAGTCAACGGTCTCGACGGGATCACCGTAAACTTATATTCCCGATGTCTTCGCCGGAAATGATGTTGATATATATAGGAAACCAACGTTTCCGTTGATTTAACCGCAATTTAATCTCTAACGGATCTCTCTTTTTCTTTTTCCTTGCGTATTATAGTTTACATTATCATGGAGTCATTATAGTTTACATTACATTACGAAAATGACATAACAAAAAGAATAAAATTCAACGAAATGAAGACAAATTGTTTATCAAACAATATTCACACAAATTATTATAAATATATCGTTTTTTTTTTTATAATCAAGCAGTTGTCTAGAAATATGTTAGATATTTCGGATTAAGAAAGCATTGTTATTGTCCTGTTACTTTACGAGTGATTAATAAGAAGCTAAAAAAGAAGGAAAAATAAGGCAACAAAATTAAAAAAATAAAAAATAAAAAATAAGAAGAAATGTATCAAACCTCATCGGTAATTATAGGCGCTTTGTCCATGGTGTCGTTGATTGGGCTGGGCGGTGACGTGGGGCTAGCACTGGGGCTTACGTGGAAAACCTTGGACTCCTTGGCGGGTCTCTGAGGTGACACCCTCGCCGGAAAGCTTAGGGTCTTGGTCCACTGCGACAGACCGCGCACCATCTTCAATGTTAAAGGCACTAACGTCACTCGCGCAACCGAGATGACTCGGGTTCACCATTCAATTTCGCGACTCGCGAAAGAGGGACATGGCTTGTCCCTGTTTCCTATATTTAAATCGCGTTCCCACGGTCCCGAGTAATTCGCACTTTTTATTCGCGATCGTTTCCTGAGAAATCTCGTGACTCAGGCCGTTTCGAGTGTCGCGGTCGTGACACTCGACAGGAAGTTATCTGTTCGTATACGATACAATCCGACTTGATTTCAAGTAAACCTCAAGAAACTTGCCAAATGTGAACGCTTAAGTAAACGATAGTACTCCTCTCGGCTCAGTAACGTACAAGACCGAGTTTACTGATGGACTGACACGCAGGCTGTGACTAGTTCTGCAACTTCTCTGGACCCCATCATGGTGTCGATGGGGACGACGAGGATGGTAGTAGTAGTGGTGGTTAAACCGACGGTGGAGGAGGAAGAGGAAGAGGTGGCGAAGGAGGAGATAGAGGAGAAGGGGGAAGAATCGGTCGCGAACCAGAAGAGCCGTTGGAGCGACCGGGAGACTGGCTCCGTGAAGGATGGTGCATGATGCGATCATGCGAATGTAATTTCCCAGTTTCTCGGTCTACCCGCAATCATTATCCTCTGTAACTTCCTGATATCTCTCCTAAAAGAGTGTGGGAACTTGAAACGATGAATGACTTCAATCAATAATGATCACGAAGGTGATCACGCGCGCGCGTCCTGTACAAGAAAGAATGAGCGACCTGTTTCGTAAATTGTAATTCAATAGATTTATAATATGATTAATGTTGATAAATTGGATATAGTTAGTTTAAGATCTTATCTGTTGAATCAGAAATAAAAGAAGAAATAAAAGGAGCAGTTGATTAAGATTACAAGATGTTGACAAAACCGATCTTTAGACTAATCCACCCCTGTAAGAATAGACTTTTGTTTTGAGAGAAGATAACTGGGGGAAACATGATAACTGAGAGAAGAACACTGTCGGGAAGAAAGGAGGGAGAGTCAGGTCGTGAATGAAGGAGCATGTGCATGTAAAACAGGAATGCGCTCTCTCTTTCTCCTTCTCTCTCTTTTCTTCTAGACGGCGAACAGGTACGATCCTGTACAAACCTGCAGAGAATAGCTTTCAAAATGTTTGCTTAGATCATTCCATGATAATTAAAACATCGGTTTTTTTTTTTTTAATTTCGTTACAAAATATAATTGCAGGGTTACCACAGACCTGGAAAATTGGAAAAAGTCAGGGGAAAATGTAATAAAAGTCTGGAATTTCGAAATTTACTCACAATTCTCTGAACCTACTTCTATTCCAGATAATCATTATAATTTTTTAAATTATATCTGACACATGTTTATATTATAATCAAATATGTTCAAAACTTGTGCACTTTAAACGATTTTAATAAAATAATTAAAATTTATATTTTATTCAGTATTTTTATTTGATCCCTCTTTTTCATCATAACTGTATTCTTTTTTCTAAAACTAATTAATTTTTTGCTGACTTGAATTTGCATCCAAAATTCTACTATGTTACTACAAGCTTTTTTTTCCGTTGTTTTTAATAATATGGACTAGTTCTTCTACAATCCTTGATCTAAAAATCTTCTAAATATAATAAAATTTTACATTTTATATTATTCGTGGAAAATTTTCCATTTTCATCTGAAAAAGTCAGGGAATTTTAAAATTCATTTTCTATGACAACCTGAATTGTCAAAACACATCATCCCTCCTCTTTTCTCCCGATTATCGACAAGAATCGCGAGAAACTACGCGATTTCCCGATATAAAAAGTTTATATATCTGTGGCTGAACTAGTGTATACTTTTGGAAGTACACACTTTTCAAAATGAAGTATACATTTGATTTGGCAAAATCAAGAAAGAAAGAGTTCTAATAAAGCAGTTTAGCAATAAAAAACCGACCTATAAAGAAACTGATCTCCGTGCGAAAAGAGCTTTTAAAAAAGAGTCTGATTTCCGTTTCGATATCGGAATATTTCCCTTTTGGAGACAAAGAGTTCTATCGGCGATGATCAGAAAGGAGAGAGAGAAAGATACACGTGTTGCCAACTGCAGATTTGTGGAGTAACAAGACCGCGAACGTGGAAGGGGAGAAAAGGAAGGGAATAAAGTGGGGAGAAGAGGAGGAGGAGGGGGGGGGGAGAATAACGACATCGCCGGACCTATATCGCCGCCCGGTATGCACACCGTGCATTCAACTGCCTTCAACTGTGCGCGGACCGGATCTAACTCAGCTGCGGCCTTCTTCGACCTTCCCCCCACCGATAATCGGCGAAGGGAAGAAGTCGCGGCCCTCTTGGCCGGCCATTCCAAATCTTCTCCTGACAATCGAGAAAGCAATCCGCTCGCGTGGATCATCGGGTTCGTGTGAATTACCGACCACGAAGCCGAATAAGCCAGGTCGCCGGTCGAATAAATATCTAGGCGTACCGTACACGCGTCTCACTTGCCGAGCGTTGCACCATCGTTGCTCGAATCATTTTGGGAGCATAATAATTAATTAATATTAGGTACCGCTATTATAGTCCTCTATATTATTAACATTTTTTGTTTCTCCAGCTTTTTATTTCTTTTGCTATTTGCGAATTTAAGAAACCTTTCATATAAAGATAAATAAAATAATTAATAATAAGTAACATTTAATTGAGAATAAAATAATTGATAATTTTTTTGGACGAGTTAAAATCTTTTTATATCTCATTAATTATCTATCTGGAGCATTTAAGTTTTACATTATCAAAAAATGATGTGTTTTTACAATATTATACTTATAGAAGAGTTATATATTACTTGATGTAAAACAAACTACTATCTGTAATGGACTTTTAAACGTCAAGAGATGTCGATAACCGAATTCGACTCTTTGTGTCGAACGAAATTATTCGAGCTAACAATTAATAATATAAAAACAACAATCTCCAATATTATTTTATACCTAATATTTCAAGCGACAAAGATAGTGTTTTTTTAATCAAAACATTATTT